AATGGTCAAGATGCGTAGAAAAGTTTTTGGCGCCAACGTTGCATTTAAATTAGTAGTTGGATGAATAAAAATAAATTTTGTTACCACGTAAAAACCTCTCCACGAGATGGACATTCCACCTGACACAACCTTGATTACCTCCACCAACACCATGCTTCTATCTATAGGGATGTATAATTAACATGGGAACAATGCTTAGAACCCTTACAAAACCCTCCCTTCTGCGTATTATTGTTTCAAAAAATCGTGACTCCACCCAACCACACCTTGCTTTCCATTGGGGGATCCATAAGTAACATCGGAAACAATGTATAGAAGCACACAAAACCCTTCCTACTAGTGAAGGGCCCATACCTACACCATGCTTTCCACTAGGGGATGTTTATTTAATAGACGAACAATGCATAGAAACCTTACACCATGCTTCCCTCTAGGGGGATATTTAATTAATAGAGAAACAATGTATAGAAACATATAAAACACTACCCACTAGGTGTGGACTGATGAGTACAGGCCCGATCTTCCAAGAGGTAGCCGATAAGTTCGATTTTGTGGAGATCTCGACGTTGGCGATCCGGCTTCAAATCAGACGCTATTCGAACCCTGCAACTGTTACACCACTGCTCCGTTAGTTATCAACCAAGCACAACTTGATTGACCTCGCCAAGAAGGCTTTTCCTGCAAGCGAATCGAAGAGCACAAGCAAGAAGGTAAAACACGCAATCTGAAATTGCAAATATGAATGACGCGAATATCAATAGAGGATTCAAGAACTCGGTTCCAAAGGACTAATCGACACAGTGGAGGAGATCAAGAACGGGGCCCTGGATCACTATAAAAGGATTTGTCACCACAGTTACAATGAACGATTCAGTTTCTCGATGGAAAACTAAACTCTAAACAAAACCCAATTGTGTAGCAGCGGCGACGGCTGTGTTTATAGTCTAAGACTCGACCTAGGGTTGGGGACGGCCAGGGGTTGGGCGCCCACAACTTGGGCTTAAGGCCCGACACGATACATGGCCAAGTTGGCCCAAATAGGTGACGCAGCACCTTGCCGTGGTCACACAGAATGATCCACGGACCTTCTGAAGCTGGGGACCAGATCCAAAACGACGGCGTCGTCGTCCCCTTTCCAACGCATCCAAGAACGGCCCGTTTCGATGTCGTATGAGAAAGTTATGACCGAAACAGTGACGACGTGTCTGCTGAATCCGATGGCAACGTGGCAGCTGAGTTGGGAACGAATTGCAACTTGGGGAAGACCATGGCGTCGGTGTGTCCAGCATGGCGATGTCCTCATCATCCTCCCCTTCTCGAATTGGAGTCGTCCTCGACTCCATCTTGGCGATGTCCTCATCATGGACTATCCATGATGGTCTCAACTCACAACATGCATAGAAACTCAGTCAACAAAATATTGAAACCCAACTAAGGTTACATAGAAACCAATAGTTTTACATAGAAACCCAACTGAGGCCACTATGGGGGTGTATAATTAACATGGGAACAATGCATAAAATATGGAGACAGCAAGTGTAAAACATGGAGACGATCTCGTCTTCTCCAAAATTTGAAATTTGAATCATGGCACGTGATGACCGATTGGATGCATAGAATCAATGGTTAAGATGCGCGGAAAAGTTTTTGGCACCGACGTTGCATGGAAATTAGTGGTTGGCTGAATAATTTTTTTTGTTACCACGTAAAAACCTCTGCGAGATGGACAACAATGTATATCGAAGAGTTCTAACAATACATAGAAGAGTGCTCTAACCATATATATAATTGTGTGGCAGAGCACAGATAACTACTCCAACAATGTATACAAATTTGTTGTAACAATGTATAGAATACATATCATGTTACAGTTTAGCTATGTATAGGAACTTATGCACACAAGCATACAAACACAAAATCAACAAAATAAAATGATGAAGAGGCGTCGCTGTCGTTACCAGAGATGTTGGGAAAGGGGCCGGGGGCCGTGGTGGGGAGAGGGCGCGCCGAGATGCCAGAGCGCGCGCGAGGATGCCGTGTGTCCCATCGTCGATTGTACGTTGCAGATCTAGTGCAGCGACGAGCTCGCCGCCGTCCCCGCCGCAGACCCGTGACCCCATCACTGCCTCCGGACCCGGTGAGAGAGAACCATTAGGCATCGGGGGATGGAGAGCCATCGGCTGTCAGGTGCCACCCCGCCGCTTGGGGCCAGGACCACGCTGCCATGTGCCGTGCGGCATCCAGCGCCACCGGCGGCTACGTCTCCTCGAGCAGGCCCTGTTGGACATGCGGCCGGGTGCGCGCTGGCAGCCACCGCCGGCCAGTGAGTCCGTGCTGACCCTCCCATTGGCGCGCGCCACCGGGATCTAAGGACGGCCGCGCCGCCATAGATCGGGGGAGGGGAGGGGCCGCGCCGCGGCTTGTCGGGGAGGGGCGGAGCCACACCATCAGCGGTCGGTGGAGGGGCGGGGCCGTGCCGCCGTGGCTCGAGGAGGGGCGGGCTGCGCTGCCACGGGTCGGGGAGGGGTAGGGCCGCGCCGTCACCGTAGCTGGTCGGGGAGGGGTGGAGCCGTGCCTTCAGCGGTCGGTGGAGGGGCGGGGCTACGCCACCACGGCTCGGGGAGGGGCGGGCCGCACCTCCACGGGTCGGGGTCGTGCCGTCGCCGGTCGGGGAGGGCCAGGGATGGGTTGCTGGGTGACGGCCGCAAGCTCCAAGTCGCCGTCAGCGTCCCCGCGCGTGGTCCATGGTGCGGCAACGTGCACTGTGAGGGTGGCTGCTGCGCTCCACGGGCAACAGGCCACGCTCTAGGTGGGGGTGGCGTGTGGTAGGGGCTGGTGGTCAGGGGTGGATGGGGATTAGGGTTTGGGGGATTATATACGGTCTGGGAAGGTTGGGCCTGGTGGGCCGACGGGTGGGGCACAGGGTGGGCAAGCAGGCTTGTGGCTGGACCAGGTTGGTGGGAGGCTGGTTTGGTGGAACCAGCTAGCTGGACTTTAGGTTGGGACTTTCAATAACTATTGGGAGCCCTAAGCTCCCAATAACATAACTATATAAATATATATATTATATATAAATGCATGCCTAGTAAACTTAAACATTTTGCACATAATTTTTTTAACGATTATTAACTCTTATCAAGAAATAATGTTGCTAACAAAGATCTAGAAAATAATAAATGTTTAAGGTTATGTAGAAATAATGTATAAATAAAAATAAAATCCACCATTATTATTCCTAATCTAAAAAAACCACATGTTTGAATATTTCTATGCTTATTACTAAAGCATGAAACGATCTACATTATTAGCAATGAACGATTAGAAGATGAAGTTGCTAACCTTTAGAAGATTGAAGGTGAAGCCGGCGGCGAAGAGCAAGAACTTGCTCCCCCAAGCAAGAACACGGATGAACAAGCAAAGGCCAAAGATTTGACCTGTGTCTCAGGCTCGGGGGACAGTGGAAGCGGATATATATAGGTGGGGACCTTTAGTCCTGATTGGTGGAGTCTATCGGGACTAAAGGATCAAATTATAGTCCCGGTTGGAGTCAAAACCCGGGATAAAAGGCCAACGGGACCTTTGGTCCCGGTTGGTGGTTCCAACCGGGATTAAAAGGTAACCTTTAGTCCCGGTTTGAACCACAGACTGGGACTAAAGATCCTTGCTGTAAAAGCCTACTGCACTATCCGTTAGGCAGGAAATTCTAGTCCCAGTTGGTGGTTCTAATCAGGACTAAATCTCATATTACTCCCGAGCCAAATTTCGACCGGGACTAAAGCTAAAATCTAAAAGTCTGTTCTCTTCTAGTGTGCACCAATGGGTGCAAAAGCCAACGGTGAATATTCTTGCACCAGTGGCATTCACGAGTCACGACACTACATGGAACCATAGTTTGAACCTCCCAACTCCCGAGACACTACATGAGCCGACGCGCGCGGCAAGCGGCTTTCCAGGGCTGCAACGTGCAAGCACGTTGTCGCAGGTGCAGAGGAAAATGCAAGCGTACCACGTTGGAGAGTGAAGACTGGAGGAGATCGAAGCCTACGTAGGTGGGCAGCACAGCAGGCCGGACATTGTTTGTGTTTAGCGCGCGATTTTGCTTCGGCAGTATATATATAAAACTCCAGCTATTACAGACGACTCGAGACACAGAACCCGGCAGTAATAAGTAAATAAATATACTGCTCCGCATACAACTACTCGAAGGTAAACCACAAAAATATATATAAGCAACAAAAACTACGTACACCAGATTACTGCATCACTGTAGGAATCAGGCAAAGAGCGATGATTAGCAGTGATGCAAGCCTTCTTAGGATTCGAACTCAAAACCTCAAAGTTCCCTCAAACATTCATACCAGATAACCTACGTAATACTTCTTCATTTACGATTCTTGTATTATATATTTGACACTCTAAACAATCTCAAATAAAAAATGAGCTAAATAGGAATTGTGGTAAAGAAATCAATGTACATATCTTTTGCATGGCAATTTTGCGAAGTCATTGTTTAGAATAGCAAAGTTGTGAAGCCATTTGAAATGGCAAATACCCAATTTTCTCCCTAGCAACATTGCCTGTTCTATGGTTGTGAAAGCCATACATATGCAGTTGATCTATTAGATTAGGTATCATTTTTGTCAAATTCACATGTTAAAATCAACTCAGCCCTCTTCAGGACTAGAGAAAAGTGTAAAATTATGGAGAGCACATCCAGATGAGTTTTATAAAATTAGTTGTGCTGGTACCTTTTGAGGGCCTTTCGAGGGCTGCAACGTGCAAGCACGCTCTCGCCATTGGAGTTGCAATTCTTTATCATAACTAGCAGCAGACCAACGTGCATCGACCACCGTCCTGGCCCGTGACGAACAGAAGTACACAAGAGCTACCTTAAACACTACCACTCTACAGCTCCAATCTCCACTGCTCACTCCGCACAAGCACACAAAGACACACACACACCAGCAACCTGTGCTCCTTGCATTGCGCCAAGAGCATCAATGGAGGTCGTGCTTGGGGCACTGCCAAGCCTCCTCCCCAAGCTCGGTGAGCTGCTTGCCGACGAGTACAACCTGCAAAAGGAGGTGAAAGGGGGAATCATGTTCCTCCGAGATGAGCTCAAGAGCATGAAGGCTGCCCTTGAGGATATCTCCAAGACTCCACCTGACCAACTTCCAAGTGGGGATAAGGTTTGGGCAAGGAATGTGAGAGAGTTGTCCTACGACATAGAGGACAACATCGACACATTCATGGTGCAAGTCAAGGGCCATCATTTGGCCAAAAAGCATGGCTTCAAGAAGTTCATCGACAAAACCCTTGGTTCCTTGATGCAGCCCAAGATTCGCCGCAAGATTGCTATTGACATAAGTGATATCAAGAGTCGTGTTGTAGAGGTGCACGACCGGCACCGCAGGTACGAGGTCAACCACAGTGTTGATAAGCCTGTCAAAGTTGATCCCCTTGCATTGGTTGCAATGGTTCGATATAAGAATCCGATGGAGCTAGTTGGCATTGAGGAGTCAAGGGATGAGGTAATCAAGATTCTGATAGAAGGCAATGAAGCGTCCAAGGAACAAAAGAAGATAGTTTCCATTGTGGGATTTGGTGGTTTAGGAAAGACAACTCTTGCTAATGCTGTGTATGAAGAGCTTAGGACAGGCTTTGATTGCTCAGCTTTTGTATCGGTGTCTCAAACTCCTGACATGAATACACTATTCAAGAACATGTTTTATCAATTCGCTGAGAAGAAAACTGATAGTATTGATATCATCGGCAAACTAAGAAAATTCCTTCGGGATAAGAGGTATGGATATATCACAAAACTAGTCATTAATTTATTTCTTGAGTTTTTGTTTACAAAGTTTGCTAAATATGACTGTATAGTGCCACTCAAGTTTATCTCTTTTCCTTTATATGTCATACCATCTCTTTAACTGAGTTTTGCTTCCAAGTAAGAACACATTATTGCCTCTTGTCTAGTCTTTGGTTCATACTCTAGAGCTCGTTTCTGTGTGTCCATGTAATGATCTTCAACAACCAGGGATCCTTCTGAAGATGCGGAACAGAGGCTTTTTTGTGAAGCGGATGAAGCCTTTTTTTTAGGACCAATTCATTAACTCAGTATAAGCAAAACTAGAAGCTTTGTTTTTGATGGGGCTTGACTAGGGGGAAAACAACCAATTAAAAAAAATTCTCACTTAGAAAGCACTAGATGTACCTGCAATATGCAGTGCTCAGAGGAAACAAAACAGTCATCCACTATTACAAAATCTCCACTTCCATTTCCATAGGTCTATTGAATATCAATACAGCAGATGCGCAAAGCTTCAGAATTTTGTATCAAAAGAAAATAAGATTGCAGAATTTTTGAAAGAAGAATTTAAGGATTAGCCTAATATATGTTAAATTCTTTTGAAACTAATATATAGTAACTTTTAAGTGATCATGATCCTCAAGTAATCATTCACATGTTTCTAAATGGAAAAGAAAAGAAAACACAAGAATGGAAAAGTTGTGTTATTGGGCTACTTACTATTTGCTAGCATGTCGAGCCCACCTATTGCTTTGCATGGCTCACATACGTGTAGAAGAAGGCTTGCAAAGATCAATATGGTAGACAGTAGGCAGGCTGCCTTGATGCTTTTACGGACCTTCTTTCCCCTTGCTGATGATTGTGGTACCGAATACCGATTAATAAACCTTTTATCCCTCAGTTATATAACATGCACAACCCACATAAGAAAGAATAGAATTTTCTTTCTCATTTTGCTTAGTCACGTATATGATACATGGCCTTTTGTTGTTCAATATGTGCAGGTACTTAGTTATTATTGATGACATATGGAAAATCACAGACTGGGAAATGATCAAATGTGCTCTGCCCGATGACAGTGTTGAATATAGGATCATCACAACTACTCGTATTTTCGCAATTGCTAAAGAAATTGGCGGTCCTTACAAGATGAAGCCCCTTTCTCTGGAAAACTCTAGGATATTAATGTATGGAAGAATATTTGGGAAAGAAGACAAAGACAAATGCCCCGATGAACAGCTAGAAGAAGTGTCAAATAGAATACTAAAGAAATGTGATGGTGTTCCCTTAGCTATTATCACGATCGCGAGTTTGCTGGCTAGTAAAGGAACAGACAAATTGGAGTGGTATGATGTGTGCAAATCTATTGGTGATGGACTAGAGAAGAAGAATAATGTAAAGAATATGAGAAAGGTTTTGTCACACAGCTATTATGATATGCCATCTCATCTAAGGACTTGCTTGTTATATTTAGGGGAATTTTGCTATGGGACACTGGGAAAACATGTAATTGGCCGGCACACACCGCCAAACCGAGAATTTGTCAAAAAACACCGCAAATTTGTGGTTCTTTTCCCAGACACACCGCACCGATTATTTTATTCATATCTCAGTTTTAGGGAGAGAGAATGTGGGAGAAATGTCGTCTTTGCCCTTGTCTTCAACCTCTGGCCGGCGCGACCATGACTGGAGCTGAACGTCACCGACGAGCTGGGGCTAGGCCTAGAGAGGGCACGGGCCGAGCGTCTCCTCCACCACGCCTCGAGGCCCGGATCGAGCGGCCCCTTCTCCACGCCTCGCCCAGCACCACCGGATCCACGGCCGGCTCTGCACCGCCTCGCCCAGCACCATCGCCTCCCTACTGCCGCCGGCTCCGCACCGGTGGCGGCATGACTGCTCGGCAGCCCCGGGGAAACAGAGCAGGCGCACACAGCAGGCGAACCACGCCAGCAGGGTGCGCGGCCCGACCTACGGAGGTCAGTGGCGCTCTCGCACCGCGCGCACGCGACGGCCGCGATAGCTCTTCCCGCCAGCCATGGCGCTCGCATCGGCACGCACCAACAGAGGGCGAGGGAGGGAGGGGGAGCGCAAGGGCGATTGAGGAGGGCGCCGGCGTCATCAAGGCCGTCTACTGCGCGCCACCTCTCCGCGACAGCTCTGCCCGCCAGCCATGGTGCTCACGCCGACACGCACCAAGAGAGGGCGAGGGAGGGAGAGAGGGAGTGTGAGGGCGAGTGAGGAGGGCGCCGCTGGCATCGGAGGAGTAGATCGGAGGAAGAGGACCCGAGCGGCAAGTGGGGATCTCACCGGCCGACCAATGACCAAATCGGTGGCGGCGTGTGTTACAGCAAATAATCAGCAAACGTCCGGAGGTTGAAGACGAGGGTAGTTGGGACATTTCTCCCACATTCTCTCTCCCTAAAACTGAGATATGAATAAAATAATCGGTGCGGTGTGTCTGGGAAAAGAACCATAAATTTGCGGTGTCTTTTGACAAATTCTCGGTTTGGCGGTGTGTGCCGACCAATTACATGTTTTCCCAGTGTCCCATAGCAAAATTCCCCTTATATTTAAGTATGTTTCCAGAAGATTATGATATCAAAAAAGATCGTTTGATATGGTTGTGGATAGCTGAAGGTTTTATCCAATCTGAAAAGCAACACAAGAGCTTATTTGAAATAGGGGAGAGTTACCTCAATGAGCTCATAAATAGAAGCATGATCCAACCTAGGCATGATGAATGGACTGGCATGATAGAATCTTGCCGTGTACATGATATGGTGCTTGATCTTATTTGTTCCTTGTCAAGTGAAGAGAACGTTGTTAGTATACAGAACAATATGGGTCAATCATCTGAATCAAAAAGGGTTCGAAGGCTATCCCTTCAAAATAGCAAGGCTAGTCATGATAAACCTGAGGCTACATTGAGCAAAGAGCATCATGTGAGGTCAGTTATTGCCTTTCAATCCGCTATTGACTACATACCAACAGTCCTTGAGAACTTCAACATTTTGCGTGTACTGGATTTAGAAGGATGTGATCTTTCACAAAGCAACAGCATTAAGTATCTTGGTAATTTACTTCATTTGAGGTACCTAGGTCTAACTGATACAAATATTAATCAGCTCCCTGAAGAAATAGGCAACCTACAGTTTCTACAAATGTTAAATGTAAACCAATATTAATTATGCTGGCCTTCTTTGTTTGCCGTCGAGTATTGTTCGGCTAACACAATTGATGTGCCTACGCATGAGTAGTTGGACAACAGTGTCAGAAGGGATAGTAGGCAGCTTGACAGCCCTCGAAGAGCTTTCAAGTCTACGCATCGACGGTAAAGGGATGATGCTAGAAGAGCTGGCCCATCTAACAGAGCTGAAGGTGCTGGATCTTAAGATCAGCATCGACAAATCCGTGGATGGCATGGACAAATCCGTGGTGGAGTTCCTAAACAAGCTCTGTAAAATTCAGAGTCTAGAAATCAACATTGCAAGTAGGGAATGCGACATGGATGGTTGGGTTGTCACCGCCCCTCAAAACCTCCGTATATTGATTCTACAGGGCCCTTTCTGGTTTGCTACGCTGCCTGCTTGGTTGAAGGCGAATCCCTCCATCCTTGTGAGCCTCTCCAGCCTCAAGATCGGAGTGAAGCGGCTGCAGCAGGAGGATCTCGAAATCTTAGGGAGGTTGCCGGCTCTCCACTATCTAAGTCTGACAGTGAGCCATGAGGATCTAGGGATCCTTCGGAGATTAGTTGTTGGTGCTTGCTCGTTCCCATGCCTCATGCTCTGCAGGTTGTGGGGATTTGGAGGGCCTGTGGCGTTTGAGCAAGGAGCCATGCCAAGGCTCGTGGATCTTGGGTTTGACTTCCCAGTGCAGCGGACGAGAAAAAACAACGACAGTTTCGACTTGGGCCTAGGGATCCTGCGGTCGCTGCAGAGGGTCAACGTTCGGTTGGAACGTGAAGGTGCAAGCGAGGAGGAGGTGAAGGAAGCAATGGCTGCGGTGAGGCATGCTATTCATGTCCATCCCAATCATCCCACCTCTTGGGTAAACAACTTCTTATGCTCTGCTTATAACTTCTCCCCTATCTCCTTTTCCCCTTTCTTCAGACCTAAATATCCTTTGTTTCTTCTCAGATTGGGGGGGACTATATGCCGACGCTCGCAGAGTAGTTGCAGTTCTTTGCTGTGCTCAAGATGAGAGAAATCATCGGTGGTTTCGACATGGGCTTGAGGAAGAGACAGGGACCTGCTGTCACTGTTCGGTTCTGATCAGGATGTGCCCAGCACCGAGGAGGTGGAGGAAGCAAAGCCTGTGATCAGGATCTGTGATGTATCATGGACTGACGAAGATGAAGGTGCACTGTTCTCCGTTCCCCTTTCCTCTGACGTAAAATGCCCCCCGTTTCTTCTGACATTTTTTTTACCTTCTTTACTTCTCAGGAATTGGAAGTCTGATGGACTAGTTCAGTCACAGCATTTTAAGCTACTGTAGTGTTGATTGTCAAGTCGCAGGAATTAAATGCTCACCCTTGGACAGTAACAACAACCCCTGACCCTGCAAGTAGGTCAATCTTGCATTGCACAGGTAATACTTACAATTTCGATAAAGGACCCTACCTTAACTATTCTACCAGTATATCTTCTCAACACTGATGTTAATGTTTTTTTAGTGGTGATTTGACCAAGGAAATGTTGTCTTCCTATTGTCACTTTAGTAAACTATGCTAATGTAACATAGATTCGTATATTCAAAAAGTACGAATAATCTCATCTTCTGTACAGAAAACACTGTTCTTGCCTTGTTTTAGGAGAACCCAGAAACCAAAATGACCCAATAGGTTATATGTATTGAAAAAAAAGCTTATAGGCATTCACTAATATATGGTTTATATATATTGATAAAAAAAAGTCTGCGTAGGAAATATTAGAAATTAGTTCCAGAAAAAGCTTATAGGCATTCACTAATATATGGTTTATCTTGTTGACAGGCAACAATTTGTATGACACTAATAATGTGCTGCATGACAGTCAGCCCTTAATTTATTTTTAATTTTGGGCATCATGAATGAAGCAGCCAAGCAGGTCGCTAGTGGACATGGTGCAGAGGATTCTAGCGGTGGCAGCAGGGGCTGGGTGGCAGGCAGAGATGGTCATCAGGCAGCTAACTGTTAATGGTGTTGCGTTGCAAGTTCAAATGTTCAGAACTCAAAGAGAGGAAATTTGGGAACTCGTTAGACTATGGTTCATAAGGTTCAGGTCAACAACGTGGAAGACACGATACTTGGGAAAAATGATGGCACACAAATTGCTTGCAAGGGGTTGCCAAGGAAGACATGTCATTTTCAGTTGTCAAGGAAAACATTGTAATCTTTAGTTTTCATTTTCAGTTTGCTACTTCAGGTGTGTGTTGCAGACATTCTTGAGCTAGCACTCGTACTGTAGTGTCATGAGTACCTATCTGCTGAGACGATTGGATGAAACATCTGATTGTGAATCAGCAAAGCATTTCTGATCTATCTGAATTTCAGCCGTTTTGTGTCTGTTTCCTACTTCTCTTCACTCTTCAGAAGGGAGGGAGGCACTGACTTGTGGTAGGATGAAGTCATGAAGCACCAGCAACGGTGGCAAAACATTTGATCCAGCTTTCAATCTTTTCTCGATTTGCAAAGTTTCATTTCAATCTTTTCTCGATTTGCAAAGTTTCATTTCAAACGTCGCTCACAATTGACACAACACTAAGAACAACATATCACACCATGCTTTGCACTTGCTACTGAGTACACTGACGCAAGAACAGAGCTGCAAATATGTACTCATCACTTCATCAGACGCCACTAGACGACGCACTCCTCGGCGCAGGCGCCGCCGCCGACGCCACGGCAGTCGAGGGCGGCGACGTGCTCCCCATGCATCGCCACCAAGTCCGGGTGCCCGTACCTGGCCGCGGCGACAGCGTAGCACCCAAGCACGTAGACGAAGGCAAGGAACACGGCCCCGAACAGCTGGAAGTAGGCCAGCTGCTCGGCGCGCTCCTCTGCGGCACGGCTGCGGCAGTCGACCTGGTGGCCGTCGGCGTCCCGGTCACACCCGTCCGGGAGCATGGGCCCGTACAGCGTGAGCGCCGTCTGGTAGAACCACAGCCCCTGCAACGCGATGAGCGTGCCCGCGGCGACGTCGACGGGGAAGCTCTCCGGCAGGAGCGCGCCGAGGACGGTGGTGAGGATGCAGAGGCCGATGAGGATGACGAGGAGGTGATGGTAGTAACCCTCTAGGCCTGCGTGGGTCGCAGAGTGGTAGGAGAAGAGCAGGAACTCCGACGTGAATGCCGTCGCCGCCACCAGGCACAGCTCGCCATCGGTGAGAGGCAGGTACCTGCAGTGATCGCCATTGCAGTGAGTTTATGACACTGAGTCAAATCTATTTGAGCTGATGATCGCAATTGCAGAGAGCTCAGCTTAATCCGGGTGTTAAATGGAGGCAAAATTTGACCTTTAACACAAGATTATTATGCAACGAGATCGACCATTACCAAATTTATGTCTCAGTTCGACTTTCGGCTCTACGAATTTCACACAAACTCTAAGAACAGAGTTGACAGATCCACGAAGTACAGAGAACGACGGAACCACACCTGGTGCACTTCTGGGAGAGGAGGGCGAGCGCGCCAAAGAGGAAGAACATGAGCAGCATGCCGGCATGCTCGAGGTAGATGAGGCTGGACTCCGGCGCGACGCCTCCGCCGCGGCGGGCGAGGACGCCGCCACCGAGCTCCAGGCACATGTCGAGGAACGCGCCGCCAGCCACCACGTAGAGCTCCAGGAGGCGGGGCACCCTAGGGAGCTCGAGGGGCACCACGCGCGGACGCGGAACGCCGGCGGGTCGGCGGCGAAGCGCACCACGGCGGACCACACCCGCCACAGGCCCACCGCCAGGAACAGCGTCCCCGGCAGCACGTGGCCGTTGAAGGACCCCATTTGGTATCGGCTCGCGGCGGCGGCGAGCTGGTCCCGGGTCGCCGACTGGGGCACGGCACTGCCGGACCGCGCGGGGTCGGTGGATCAGAGGCAATGTGCACCGGCAGGCAGCCCCCGATCCTGACCCTGGGGAAGAGAAGAGGTTGGGGGATAGATGGGTGGCCAGATCTCGGCGAGGATCCGAGACAGGGAAAAAAGCAAAAAGCTTTCGTCTTTAAGTGCCGGGGGGTCCAAGATTTGAGACAGACGGGACACCATAGTCTAGTCCAGACGTCCAGTCCAGTAGCTTCGTCCTCCGACTGTTGTGCTGCACCTGCATGGCACCGCACTGCACATCTTGCTCAGAGATTCAGAGCTCCGGCGAGCCATGTCTGCGTTTCTTGGCGCCCCATCAGGATTTGGTCTGATCCCAGGTCTCTCTGCGTCGTGGAGATCCCTCGTTTGGTCAAACCTATGATGTGTTCTTTGGATCAGGCCCCTTAAAAAGGACTATTACTGTGGACGTGTTTTTCTTCTAATAAAGTTAAAGGATTAAGTCCACTTTTGGCCCCTCAACTATTGGGGTCGTCTAATTTTGACAATCAACTATAAAACCGTCTAATGTTGTTACCGTAACTGTCGAAACCGTTCACTTTTAGCACTTGGGCGCGGGCGGGGCTGTTTTGTCTAATGTGGAGCGGGTTTGAGCACGCAACGCTGGCGTCGACCACCACGTACAACATCGGCCTTCATCTCAGTGACATGTGGGGCCCACATGTCAGCCACTCATCCCCTCCCTCCTCATGTTTCTCTGGTCCTGGCTAAGCTCAGAGCAGAGCCGTGCGTGGGGAATGGCCGGCCTACGCCCAAGCCTAACCGGAGACAGCACAGTGGTGGCGGAGGGCTGGCCGGCGTGGGTGCGGGGCGGCACTAGGCCCGCACTGCTCCTAAATTTATGTCACCTAGGTTCACAGATTTTGAAAACACATTCCTAGTAATTTAACAAGTTTAGGGACACACGGTGCATCACTTAATAAGCTTAGTGATCCAAAAATATATTTTCAAAGTTAGTGGACCTAAATGACACATTTTGATAAGTTCAAGACCTTATGCATTTAACTCTTTCATTTGTTATTCCCTCTATTTTTATTAGATGTCGCATTAGCTTTGTCCTAAGTCGAACATTTGTATCTTCAATTGATTTCAAAAAATCTATATAGATTCATGTCATAAGATTTATGTTTTTAAATTCACTATGAGAAATACTTTCATAATATATGGTTCATGTGTTGTGAAACTATAAGGATTTTTTAAATAGTTGGTTAAAGATAATAATATTTGGCTTAGGACAAAGCTAGTGTAACATGTAAAAAAGAAAAAGAGGAAGTAATTCAATAACTGAATCAGGCACCTTAAAAAAGCTAGCGGTTATAAGAATTTAGGGATAAAATTATAAGAAATCTGTGCTGTTTGAATGAAATTGACTCGTAACGTTAACAGTGGTACGGCCATTTGCTGTTCCCACATAACAGGTCTTAGTAGAGGTTTTATGTCCAAGCTTTCGAAAAACTCTAATATGATGAAAATAGAATAGATAAGTTTTATTTCATTAAACTTTCATTATCTTTTTCTTCATCTATACTATACTATGTTAATTTATTTAATGCCTATAAATCTTTTATGAAACCTTCACTAAGACGGATCTAATGCAATATTAAGGAACACGATTATTGCCAAGCCCAAAAGGGCACTATTTGCCCCGTTTCCGTCCTATATACTTGTCTTATGTTGTCCACTCTCGCAGGACCGAATCCAAAAACTGGTCTTGAGTCCTGGAATCCATGGGCCAGACACTTTTAGAGTATATAACTCAGCCCACAGGCTTTAAGGCCCAATATTACCGTGTCTGTTGTCGTCATGTTCTATATTCGTAATTGCCCTAAACAAATCTATATTTGCAATTTCTTTTCTTTTTTTTTTGCAAGATTCACAATTTCTATTTAGTTTTTTTTAGGAAAGCAATTTCTATTTAGTGACCAGTGGGGCCAGAGTACCAACCAGCGACCATGCCACTATGGGCCGACCTGCTGGTGCTGAACTGAATGGCCTACTATAGCTTTTCTTTTCGCCAACTGATCATTAGATCAACTGGTTAGGTTTTTTGTGGTGAAATATTCCTACCTAGGTTGAGTCTTCGACTTGATAAGGGTGCTCGTATTTTCCTAGATTTATTCTAGGATTTAACGGTGCTATACTTTCAGTGGTAAGCAATGTCCCCGTCAACGAGGCGTCAGTGGTGACTTCGTGAGTCTCGAGATCTGCCGGCTCAATCCTTCGGAGGTACTCATAGGGGTAGGATTTGCATACATGTGTTCATAGGGGTGAGTGTACATACGTGTTATGGCGTCTGTGTTGTACCGTGTAATTTTAAAAAAATACTATAGCTTTTCTTTTCACGTGGCCTTAGAGAGGCCTGGGTAGAGTTTCCATGGGATGATTTGTTTGTACTA